GTGCTAATAGTATTTTTTATAAGAAAATCATTGATTCAATTATTCAACTGATTCAATTATGTGATTATGTACTAATCTAAAATATCATCTCATTTATATATTTTTTTTTCTTTTTTTACAAACAATGTATTTATCCGATTATTATTTCACTAAACATTGTCTCTAGCTACTTTATAAATAAAATCACTAACATTTTTTTGATAAAATTTTGAAATCCAGTATGAAAAGCTCAAAAGTTTCGTGAACCAGCAGCAGGGAGGCCACTCAATCCCTAGCGTCGATACCTTACCCTTCATCCATGGTCCATCATCCTACGCATCGACCTCCACTAATAATTTCCATGTGTCGCATGGTTCCTCCTCCCAAAATCCCCTCGAGCCACCAAGCATGTTAAGTGGACCATACACTCGTGACAACACCAACATCATCCGAGTGCCTCAGCCTCCTCAGCCGCAACGACTACCGATGCAAATTCAGCATTTCCAACCGCTGTCTCAAGTGGAGAAAATAATGATGTCTGAAAGGGCATTAAACGCCGTGTCAGAGGTTAGGAGACTGGTTCAAACTGAAGAACCAATGTGGACTAAGTCGTCTATCGATGGTAGACTCGTCATTGATCAAGAGAACTATGAGAAGCTGTTTAAAAAGAACCATCTTAAGAGCCCAAATGCTCGTCCTGAGTCTTCTAAGGATGTCGTAGTGGTTCCAATGGATCCAAGAACCTTGATCGACGTGTTCTTTCATACGGTTCGTGCTTATGCCATTTATTTCCAAGCGATCAACATCAACAAATGAACTAGCGAACTTCTTTTTGATTCATATGTGCCCCTCAAAATATTGCAGGAGAAATGGGCGAGGGTTTTCCCAACAATTGTCAACGAAGCTAAAACGATTCACGTGCTGGATCCCATGAACCATGAAGGACAAAACTTTTTGACATTGGTATGAATCTTTTAGTATTTTTACATAAATTTAATAATTGTTTAAGAAAAAAAAAAAACTGTGGTGAAAAATAATATGGATGATAAATAATAAAATTATTAGGTGTATGAGCAACTGCACATATTGTCGCCATTGGTGCCACCAAGAGAGTTCATGGTCCTAAGATGTTGTCAACAAATGGAAGAAAATCTCTGGGTGATTGCTGACGTGTCGCATAATCTTCCAAACGTTGACTTTGAGTTTGCAAGTCCGATTTGCTTCAAACGTCCCTCTGGTTGTGTCATCCAAGCCTTGCCCAATGGTCACTCTAAGGTCTCTCTTTCTTCTCTTTTCATCATCTATATATTTATCAACATATTCAACTAGACTTCTATATATGATCAAATACCAAAAAAGCAATCGAAGTAGAAATACATTTGATTTGGTGGAGGTAAATAACATTATTTTTAGGGAATGTAAAAGTGCACTTTTATCAAAACGTGTAAAAGAATAGTTATTTTGCGATTTTTAAAAGTTTATAATATGAGCAGAGTCTATAAAAAAAGCAAAAAAACCAAACAAATGACAAAGAAAATGGGCAGGTGACTTGGGTGGAGCACGTGGAAATAGATGATCATAAAATGAAGCCACATCGGCTTTACAAAGACCTCGTATGCGGCGGCTCCGGCTACGGAGCTCGCCGTTGGACAGTTACTCTTGCGAGAATGTGTGAGAGGCTGTCTCTCTCCTCCATCTCTGCCTTCCCCACCACCGACTACGGCGGAGGTACATTTATTATATATGTCAAATCCAATATATACTATATAGATTTTTCTTTGTTATTAAAAAAAAAAAGAGAAAAGTAATCTAATATCCAATAATGATAATGACAGGTGCTAGATTGTAAACAAAAGGATTTTAAAACTCTTAAAAGTTTAGTACTTGAATAAGATATCGTCTTTTTGTCTTCTTTTTTTGTAGTTGTGAAAACAACAGAAGCAAGAAAGAGTGTGATGAACTTAGGAGAACGAATGATGAGAAACTTTGCCTGGACTCTGAAAATGTCTCAGAAGTTAGATTTCTCGCAACTGTCTGAAACCAACAACAGCGGAGTTAGGCTTTCGGTGCGAATGAACACGGGACCTGGTCAACCACCTGGTCTCATTGTGTGTGCTGGTTCATCATTATGTCTCCCTCTGCCTCCTCTCCAAGTCTACAATTTCCTTCAGAATATCGAGATTCGTCACCAGGTAAAGAATAGATAGCTTAATCAGCTTTTTCTTAAAACTATTTGACGTTATTTTTCAAATTATCTTTTGTGTAAAGCTAACAAGAATTGAATCTTTGGATGTTTAAAAAGTGGGACGTTCTCTGCCATGGTATTCCTGCTGCTGAGCAAGCTCGCTTTGTCACTGGAACAGACCCTAAGAATTGTGTGACTATCCTCCGGGTATAGTACTCTTCATACTGAAAACTTCTCATTTTTACAAACAACTAGCTGTGTTAGAGCATGATTATAGGTAGTAAATATGATTGAGGTAATATATAAATTTTATAATATTAATTGTATTGATATTGATGAATAGAGAGAGAAAGAGGAGAGAAATATGTTATATTTACCCACTAAATATAGGTAATATAGATTCTATATTTAAAAACCCAAAAATGGTTTGGGTAAATATAAAAATTTTATAATATTAAAAATCTCTTATATTTATACTTATTTACCACCCATAATCATGTCCTTACGTGTTTTTATCGCAAAATCTATATATTTTTTAACAAGAAATTATCAAACAATTTAAACGGTAAGCCTTTCTCTTTTATTTCAAAAACGTGGATGAATCTAGACGAAATTTATTTGATTACATTTTCTCTAATAACATATATTTCTCTCTCCTTATTTTTCGTCAAAGCATATATTTCCCTCTTTTAAAAGTAATGCACGTCTATATTTTTCATGGAAGTTCATTACAATTCATTTTCTTTGGCATGCATTTAATTCGGTTTCTATGTATATATTGTTTAGCCTACTAGTGCAACGACGCCCAGTGAGATGATGATAATACAAGATGCCTACATAGATGCATTAGGAGGTATGGTGGTCTACGCTCCAATGGACCTAAACACTGCGTACAACGCCGTTTCAGGCCAAGTCGATCCTGCTCATATCACAATCCTCCCTTCCGGATTCGTTATCTCCCGCGACGGCCGTCCCACCCCCACCGCCCAACTCGAAGGTGGCCCCGACTATAGCACCACACTCGTCACGGTGGCTTTCCAGATCCTTGTCGCCGGTGGTCCGAACTACGGTGAAGATATCAACATGGATGAATCTACGACCGCTGTCAATACCTTGGTTAGCTCCACCGTTCAAAGGATCAAAGCCATGCTTAATTGTGAGTGAGAACCAGTTTCACAATTCACAAACTGTTTGGTTTTTTATTTGCTTTCAATAATGATTTTGAGTGAGATTGATACACTCTGATGAATCTCTAATGAATCATACATTTCCTGTTTCTGTTTGGTTTTTGAGTTTTAATAATTTCTAAGGGAAGGCCCTTAGATAAACAATATTTTATGATG